TCTGAAAATAGATTTAATTTGTAGGAATATAATATAGACAAAATGCAATTTATTGTACGTTACATGTCAGTTTACATGTTATTGCTCAACACAGTTTCAACTAACACTTTTTATTTTAAAGATTCTTGCATGGTTAAGTACTCATTGTGCAAACTAAGCAACACTATTATGATGAGTCATTTAAATAAAGTTATTCAGACCAGATTGCAGAGATCAAAACACTTTGGTTGGCAATCTTTATGAAAGAAAAAAGCTAAATATTTTACATAATCAACAAAGTATTTAAACAAAAGTTTTAAATAGCAGACATTATCAACTGAAATAAATGTCTTCAAGGTAATGACATTTTAAACATTCAAGGGATACCTATGATATCAGAAGACTTCAACACAGTGTGAGGGATTTACTCAAAATCTACTTTATGCTAATGCTTTATACATAAATGCTACAATGATCAAAATCCTGAAAGTAAATAGACAAAAAAAAACAAAAGAACAAACAAACACAAACAAAAAGACTGAAACCTTTGGATTTCCTCTTACTCTGTGGTAAAAGACAACATGCAAAATGCATGGAAAAAGCAGGTGAAGAGTCAGCCGCAGCAGTCATGGGGATGCAACCCAGAGCAGTGTCCTTTTGCTAGATCCCTCCCCAGTGGCGCTCTACCTTCAGGACCAGTGTGGTGTTGGGGGTGTAGCTCCAAACACGGCTTGTTGTGGGGGGGGGGGGGGGGGGGGGAAGACTGAAACCTTTGGATTTCCTCTTACTCTGTGGTAAAAGACAACATGCAAAATGCATGGAAAAAGCAGGTGAAGAGTCAGCCGCAGCAGTCATGGGGATGCAACCCAGAGCAGTGTCCTTTTGCTAGATCCCTCCCCAGTGGCGCTCTACCTTCAGGACCAGTGCGGTGTTGGGGGTGTAGCTCCAAACACGGTTTGTTGTAGGGGAGGGGGGACATCAAGGACAAGAATCCTTAGGGACACCAACCTGATCCATTTTTAGGATTCTGCTCTTGCACAAAGTGAACTTGAACATCTCTGCTATCTTAAAATAAGGTGGCAATCTTGGGATTAAGCTGGACCCACAGTAATGCTGACCTAAATCATGTTTGCAGTGGGTATAGACTGGAACCGATTGAATTTCTAGCATCTGTGGGGACTTATCTTTCCCATTTTTAATCTGTGAACCTTGTCAGATGTGGGTTGCTGACGAAATGACAGGGGATACTAATGTTAAATGTGAGGTGGTAGCCACAAATTATTGCCAGGACTGGCTACGTTCAACTTTTTACCATATATTTTTTAACCATATATAACAGGGTACTGTTGATAAAAGTCTGGATTTACAGAGTCAAGTAGAGAGACCGTGTTGGATCAAATAAGACATTAGAAGATCAGCCATAGAAATTTGGATGACCTCAGTTGAAGAGCATTCGTGAAGTGAATCCAAGTTTGAGGATTTCAGAAACAGTTGAAAACAGGAGGGACTTGGCTGTTATTATGGATTCCAACGTGCATGATTGCAAGGGGGGGGGGTCACCATTAGAAACAGCAAGGGTCTTGTTACAAAACTGGTCAGTGAGGGTGGTTGGACTGCACAGTACACGGTTAAGTGGCGTGCAGGTGTGAGACTAACTATGAGCTTGATTGTTAATGTTTAGGTAAGAACAGAGCTATCAAGACCATACAGATTGAAGGAGAGGACATTCTGATGATATTCCACAAAAAATGGTTGGCTTCTAGCTTCAGAGATAAGGATCTAATTCTTTTGGTTTCCGTGAAACAATTTGTAGGTTATTTTGGTGTCCTCTGCTTCATTTCCTACTCCTAAAAGGAAGAACTCCAAAAGAAGCCCTTACTGAGAGCATCTAGTCTGGTATAGAGGAGGAGAGGGTCACTGGCGAGAGGGATGGAGAGCATCTTAGCAGCAGCCCAGCGGGATATAGCATACTTAATAGAACAGAGATGACAGAGGAGCATGGAGAGAAAGATATAAGGTAGAGAAGCAGGCGAGCATCATAAGAGAACTATACACTTGCCTTGAGGAGACTGAATGAGAGATACAGGCGAAGAAAAAAAGGAATCTGAAAAAATAAAATAGGACAGAAAGATGAGAAGTCTCAGTATCCTTCTTATAACTCTACATTTGAAAGGGGAAATTGTTAGTGAAATGCCCAGCGAAGCAACTTTTACATCTCAAGTATCTGAGCTGACAGCAGATATCCAAGCGCTTACCTCAACAAGTTACATGACTTAAAGGAATAGTTGGCCCAAAAAATTAAAACTGTCATCATTTTCTCACCCTTATATATCGTTCTAAACCGGAGCAATTTTCTTCTGCGGACTACAAAAATGTCCAAACAACACTGGACCTAATTGACTTTCAATGTACAGACAAAAGAGACATTTTTCAAAAGATCTTCTTTTGTGTTATACAGATTTGGAATAACATAAGAGTGAGTAAATAATTACAGAACTGTACTTTTTGGTAACCTTTCCCTTTTAATCTACAATTCAAGTAAGTTAGATAAATATCTATGAGATAATCAACCATTACTGATGGTGTGAGATGATCTAATCTTTCTAAAGCGATTTAAAAAAAAACAATCCTCATTCTTTTATGCATGCAACTTATATTACTTGAAAGACTACATAGAATACTGTACTTCTAAAAATAAATTTGTAACACTGGTGAAGGCAAAAAAAAAGTGTATGGAAGTTTTTCCTGAAAAAATTAAAATGATAAATAAAATGTTCAAATACTAAAAGAAATAATACAAAAAAAGAAATTAATCAAATCATCAAAATGGTCACTGATTGTTCTTAATTGACAAGGCTCATATCACAACTTTATAGTATGAGCACTGAATTATAGCTTTAATTATGATATGGCTTTAATTAATTGTTAATGAAAAACAAATATCAAATTATATTTCATATTTTTGCTATAGTTCGTTACTACAAATGAAGAAATGAAATTGCATTCGATTTATCATTTGAGCATCCATTTTTAGAATATGATTAAATATTTGATAGTTTGAACATTTGATTGACCATTTTAAGTTTGTTAAAACTTCCATAAAAGTGATTTAAAAGGGGGGTGGGAACAAAATAAATGGTGTCACAGTACCTAAAATAAACACTTTTGCTTATAAATTAATATAAATTTTAATACGACGTTATTTTCATGTCTATTATACACAAAGCAATCATAAAAATATTTTGCATCAACTACCTATAATGGCACTTTTTACTGTACAAACGATGATGATCGAGCTGCATAGTGCACAATACTTACAAGAGTCAAATGGTGGAACTTTCTCATGGAATTTTCAATGATCCCTCCCATTCTTTCTGACATTTAACCCTGCAAAGCACCCACATGTTGCACCACTGCGTTATGTAACCTGTTAAGGGAAGCCATTTTCAGCCAGCCACACTTCAAAAATTCATGTGATTTGGAAGCAAACAATATCTGAATTCATCCAGAAGCCACTTTCAACAGTTGGGTCAATCATCAAACTGTAGAGGCAACACTAGGTCAACCAAATTGGATGAATCTACTCTGGAATCTCAACAGCGAGAGTGGTGAGAAAGTTAAAGAGAACAGGTTGATCGAGTAGCACAACAGTCTTAAACAGGGCAAACTCTACTGGTCACAAATAAGGAGTGTACCCCTGCTTCACGGCATTCCTTGCCCAAACCACACCCAAAATATTTTTAATAAGCGACACACCTGGCACCATTGATGTGGACTCCAAAACTCTGACAAATCCACACACCCTCTGTCATCTTGAAGTTTTTGTCCCCCACTTATGAGCCAGCCATATAGAATCTGCTTCTTTTTTTTGTGACAGCAGTAACCAAGTGGTACAATTATGGCATCACATTCTGATATCCTATGACGGTTGGTTGGTCATGTTTAGCCGACAAACATTTAATAAGGAAATAAGGTGTAGTAATCCAACATTCAAGGATCTGATAGCTAGATACCATCTACTGCAAGGGCAGAGGTTAAATGCACCAAGATGGCTTGTGTTACAGGGCAATGCTTAAAGTGGGACTGGATTGGCCTCTGACTCTGGAAGAGCCTGTGTGGCATTTCTGTCATGCCAGCAATATCAGCTCTATTCCTGAGGGGACTGAATCATGATACCTAAATCTTTAAGAGTGCTGCCTCAGTCAGCTGTATTGACCTTAGGAATCATGCCCAGACAGAAGAGAGAGGGCGAGAGAGACAGTTTTCTGACAAAGCAAAAGACAGTATTGATATACTGTGAAGATTAATTTGATTTAAATATGATCTCTTGTTCTCATATAGCATGACATATTTTTAACAGATTTTTCTGAGTTGAATACAAGTTAAGGTCTACCAAAAACATCTAGAGCTGGCTGCCAAAATACTTTTGGAATGTTGACACGAACTATGGTAGTTTGCAAAATGCAAATGTTAATTGCATGTATAAATTGTTTTTAAAGCTGCATGCATAACTCTCTCTCTCTATATATATATAAAATTGATATGCATGTAGCTTTAATTATAATAATTTAAGTTACATTAATTTAAATAAACCTAAAAGACTACTTGAAATATCAATCAAAATGAACCAACAAAAAAGTGAACAAGAAACTAAAGTGACTAACAATAACACATGAAATATACAATTTCACTTATGTATTTACATTTTTACCTCAAATCTATTTTAAACAATAAAAATAATAAGTAATTTGTGAATCAACTTCCCATAGTCATAATTTTCACACAAAAAAAAATAATTGACTTGTAAACAAATGCACTTGCAAAAGAAGCCTATGGAGCAATAATTGCATGCTTGCTTCATAGATTTCCAAATTAAAGAACATAATGGTCAATTCACAACTACAAATTCTATTGATTGAGCTTAACCTGATTCTAGAATTTTGGATTAAAACTAAATTTGGCTAGGTATGGCATCATTTATTACCTTATATATAACGTTGGTTATGATCTGTCCAGTGACAATGGCACCCATACAGGCATCTCAGATTGTGTCTTGGAGGGCCATTGCAGCTAAATGTAACCATCTGGTCCAATATGTCACCTTCACATATGGTGTCTGTGATAGTAAGCCTGTAAGCCAGTCATCATGTCTACATCCCTCCAGCAATATTCTATAAGCGACACACCTGGCACCATTGATGTGGACTCCAAAACTCTGACAAATCCACACACCCTCTGTCATCTTGAAGTTTTTGTCCCCCACTTATGAGCCAGCCATATAGAATCTGCTTCTTTTTTTTGTGACAGCAGTAACCAAGTGGTACAATTATGGCATCACATTCTGATATCCTATGACGGTTGGTTGGTCATGTTTAGCCGACAAACATTTAATAAGGAAATAAGGTGTAGTAATCCAACATTCAAGGATCTGATAGCTAGATACCATCTACTGCAAGGGCAGAGGTTAAATGCACCAAGATGGCTTGTGTTACAGGGCAATGCTTAAAGTGGGACTGGATTGGCCTCTGACTCTGGAAGAGCCTGTGTGGCATTTCTGTCATGCCAGCAATATCAGCTCTATTCCTGAGGGGACTGAATCATGATACCTAAATCTTTAAGAGTGCTGCCTCAGTCAGCTGTATTGACCTTAGGAATCATGCCCAGACAGAAGAGAGAGGGCGAGAGAGACAGTTTTCTGACAAAGCAAAAGACAGTATTGATATACTGTGAAGATTAATTTGATTTAAATATGATCTCTTGTTCTCATATAGCATGACATATTTTTAACAGATTTTTCTGAGTTGAATACAAGTTAAGGTCTACCAAAAACATCTAGAGGTGGCTGCCAAAATACTTTTGGAATGTTGACACGAACTATGGTAGTTTGCAAAATGCAAATGTTAATTGCATGTATAAATTGTTTTTAAAGCTGCATGCATAACTCTCTCTCTCTCTATATATATATATATAAAATTGATATGCATGTAGCTTTAATTATAATAATTTAAGTTACATTAATTTAAATAAACCTAAAAGACTACTTGAAATATCAATCAAAATGAACCAACAAAAAAGTGAACAAGAAACTAAATGACTAACAATAACACATGAAATATACAATTTCACTTATGTATTTACATTTTTTACCTCAAATCTATTTTAAACAATAAAAATAATAAGTAATTTGTGAATCAACTTCCCATAGTCATAATTTTCACACAAAAAAAAATCATTGACTTTTAAACAAATGCACTTGCAAAAGAAGCCTATGGAGCAATAATTGCATGCTTGCTTCATAGATTTCCAAATTAAAGAACATAATGGTCAATTCACAACTACAAATTCTATTGATTGAGCTTAACCTGAATTTATTCTAGAATTTTGGATTAAAACTAAATTTGGCTAGGTATGGCATCATTTATTACCTTATATTTATTACCTTATATATAACGTTGGTTATGATCTGTCCAGTGACAATGACACCCATACAGGCATCTCAGATTGTGTCTTGGAGGGCCATTGCAGCTAAATGTAACCATCTGGTCCAATATGTCACCTTCACATATGGTGTCTGTGATAGTAAGCCTGTAAGCCAGTCATCATGTCTACATCCCTCCAGCAATATTCAGATTCTGATAACTAACTGAAGTCCATGTGCTCAAAAGCAAAAAAAAAAAAGAAAGAAAAATATTTGAAGGCATCAAATGATTTAAAAGAGTGCTGAAAATTCAGAGCAGGGTGACGTCATGAGTCTTAACTACACGCTCTAAGTCTATTAGATTCCCAGACGCCTTAATGAAGCTAAACTGAAGAGACCAGAAGCGCTTCACATATGCTGACGACCTGAAAAGCACTGAACCAACATCCCATCAACAAAAACCATGCAGCATTGTTTTCACTATGGAAAAGTATACAGGAACTGAACAAAGGACAGGGAGTCATTTCTAAAGAATGACTGAAAACGTGTAAATATGGGCGAAATTAACTGCATTTATTACGTGTGTGTGCGTACATATGTGTGTGTGTGTGTGTATATATATATATATATATATATATATATATA